AAAATTACTGATAAATCTTCTTTGATAAACGTCAGTTACCATGTTTGGTAGAAGTAACAAAAACCAATTCCCGAATATCCAAAGTTTACAGGTAAATTGATTTACAAAGAAAAGTCACTATTCAGATTACCAAAAATAATATGATAATTCAGAATTCTAAGTAAAGGAAAAGCACAAAAATAATTTTTGAGACAAAAATACCCCAACACACATCAAAACCTAGACCCAATCTACCAATTACAAAAGTAAAAATAGTTTGGGGTTATTTTTGTAAAATAACCTCATATTTCAAGTCATATTTCGTTCTAAACCAAACATAGAATCAATAATATTTACCCAATATTCCCGATAATATTTTGGCGAACCATTTTTTCGTAACATTTCGAGTAAACTCAATTTTTAGTGTATTTCTAATAATCATGATTATCGGATACCAAACTTTTTTTCTTGTACCAAACACACCCTTAAAGATTGTTTAAAACAAAAAGTATCATGTATCAAAGTAGTAATATGTAAGAAAGAAATACTCTGACACATATGAAAACTCATAACATTAATATGACACCATCTCGTTCTTTTATCACATCACATGCTTAAATATCCATGTATCTTTTCCGATATTATAGTAAACGTATAGCCGCTAAATTATATTACCTCTATGAAATTGCTCATATTTCATACACAACTAGATGAAAAAGTTGCAATCCTGATAAACCCTTATTGTGTCTCAATAAATAAATAAATAAGGGTACTTTACACATAACCACCTTGGAGTTAGGTGGTGTTTCAAAAGACCACCTTAAACTTTCAATTAAATAAATTCACCCCCTTAAACTATCACTTTAAAACAATTTAACATATTTGATAATACTAAGACAATAATACCCCTATTTCAATCTCAAAATGCCAGTGACACTTGTATCTATTGTCATTGCCTGTTGGCAACTCTGTTTATCGCTTCATTGCTCGCTAACCACCACCTTCTGCTGCCACCTGTTGCACCACCCTATAACCGCCACAATTGGGTCTCTCAAACAAAAGATCAAAACTTCGACGACATATCTTTGATAAATTCTTCATTTTTCAAAATAATTTTCTTTGTTCAATCAATTCAATTTATCAACTTCATTGGGTTGCATTAGTTTGTAAGGTTCTTTTAACTTCTCTATTTTTTTTATTGTCATTAATAGGGTGCTTTTACTCCAACTTTCCAGATGATGGTATTAGGTGAACAAAAGTGGGGAATTACTTTGATTGTTGGGTTGGTGATTGTTTACCAAATCTTCATTAGAAACTGCATTTGAAAGTAGAGGCAATGATTATGATAAAGTGGTCGTGGGAGGATGATGGTGCAAGATTAGTGGACAGTGGCAACGATTATGGATGAGTTGAGAATAAGGGTACTATCGTCTTAATATTATCAAATATGTTAAATTGTTTTAATGTTATAATTTAAGGGGGTTAATTAAGTTAATTGAGAGTTCAAGGTGGTCTTTTGAAAGCCCACCCAAGTACAAGGTGTTTATGTGTAATTTACCCTAAAAAAACAACAACTTGGACCTAATCCATCAAAACCCTTGTTGCCACAAAAAACATAGCCATCAAAAAAATATGTCCAAGCTTTCTCGATCCTCTCATCATGCCTTTGCCATATTCCTATCCGAAACAACATATAACTCTTGAAACCCACCAAAATTTGTCCTGTCAGGGGACATTTGATACAAGAGAAATTTTTATTTATCCGAGAATCTTGATTTTCAAAAATATAATTTTTACATTCAGTTTACAATAATACCCGTAGAAAAATTCAGTTTCCCGGAAATCTTCCAAAATTCTGCATACCAAACGCCCCCCGGCAAAATCACGACTAGTCGACTACATCACTTACATATAGGTGCAGTATGCCTAGTTTTTTCGTACACTTGAAAAAGGTATTATGATATATTATAAAATTGTAAATAATCTATACAAAGGGGTTTCTATTTATAAAAAATACTTCACCTAATTTTCACCTAATGGGCTTGGCCCAATACAACAAATAAATGACTAAATAATAACTAAATGATTATTATTTACAACACTCCCCCTCAAGCTGAGAAATAAATATTTATCATTCTCAGCTTGCTAGTAAGCTCTTGAAATCTGTCTGAAGAAAGTCCATTTGTCAATACATTAGCTAATTGACGCTCAGCGGGAATGTATGAAGTGGTAATCAACCCGCTATCAAGTTTCTCTTTGATGAAATGGCGGTCGACCTCAATATGTTTAGCCCGATCATGTTGAACTGGATTATGAGCTATACAAATAGCGGACTTATTATCACATAGCAGCTTCACAGGTTTCACACACTTTATTTTGAGGTCATCAAGTACAATTTTTAGCCACAGTAACTCACAAATGCCTTGAGCCATAGCTCAAAATTTAGCTTCTGCACTTGACCTGGCAACCACATCTTGTTTCTTATTTCTCCATGTCACCAAGTTACCACAAAAAAACATACAATAACCAGTGGTAGAACAACGGTCAGTCACAGATCCAGCATAATCAGCATCAGTGTAGACTTCTAAAGAGAGATTGTCATCACGCCAGAATAATAATCCTTTTACCAGGAGTAGCTTTAAGATACTGAAGAATTCTCTCCACTGCCTGCATGTGTTTCTCCTAAGCTGATCCAACTTCCTTTGCTAAATATTCACATATGGAGAGACATGTGGAGACTGCGTAATAATCGAACCATCTTCTAAATTGGCCATAGTGATAAGAAAGAGAGAAAATAACACCAAAGTACACACAATAAACACCCAAACGACGTCGGATCAGAGCTATAAGCACAGATCCAGATAGAGAATGAAAGGACGAGCATAACAGAAGTGGCCCGAAGTCAAGAACCACTGTCACGCGCCGGTGAAGCAAGAGGCGCGTGGGCTTCACGCGCAGAGAGAAAGGTGGTGCGTGTGACGTCCGTTTGGGTTGAGCTTTTCAGGGTGAGGTCGTCCGGCGAGCGCGACCGTGTCTGTGGCTGGTCGAAGTTGAAAAGTCACCGGAATAATGATGTTTTTGCGTCAGAACAGTGCTGCGTTTGTATTTGGGGGTTGTTCCGGTCGTCTGATGAAAACGAAACCTCCGTAGAATGATAGATCTGTAAAAAACGAGTGAAATAAGGTCCCCTCGGTCCAAAAAAAGGTCCCCAAAAAATATTTTTGCTTGTGGCAAGAGGCAAACAAGGTTTGTGCGGAAGCAGAGCCCTCATGATCGAGCACTCTGATATCAACTTGAAAAAGGTATTCTGATATATTATAGAATTGTAAATAATCTGTATAAATGGGTCTTTATTTATAGAGAATACTTGACCTAATTTTGACCTAATGAGCTTGGCCCAATACAACAAATAAATGACTAAATAATAACTAAATAATTATTATTTACAACACATACCATGATAGAAAATGGTTACATGTACAAACAACGTTGAATGCTCAAACAATGATATTCACATTTGTTGTAATAATGAAAAGTATTCTCAAAATTACAACAATTTTGTTATATGTATTTCATAAACAACATTTTTTCCCAATTTTATTATATCGTTTAAAGATAAACACGTGACAAAAACATTGATAGTTCAAGTACAAATTATCGATGCCCCACGGATTTCAGATGTTGCTATGATAACACTCCATTGTCGTATGGTATACAGAGTGCAAAACCATACTTTAGATCTATCTTTACTCGTATCTCATGATGCATTACTAATCGTTGTTGTACTGATTTTGCTCCAACTTGTATTAATATCCCAAGACAGTTTCAAAGAAAATATATTTTGTAGTTTTCCCCTTAATCATGGATTACCTCTCACGAGAAGCTTTGACAAACAACAAAACTAGTCATACAAGCTTCTAACTGCTCATTCAAAACTCTAAGTGCAGGAGATGTTGAGATTAAATTTGAAGATCCTCCAACAAAAAATGGGAAAATCATCAAACTCTATTTTCATGGTAAGTGCAGCAGAAAAAATTGAAGATATTCCCATAGAATGTTTTGAAAAAAATATGAAGACAACTGTTATATTTAAAGAACATAACACACTTTTATTGGGATCCATATAAATGCAATGGAAAATGTGATTGTTGAGAAGATGTCAAGAAGAACTAAAAAGAAAAAAAAATATTTTACGAACTCCCTTGTAAAATATAAAAATTAATCATAGCGTATATTGCACGTGCTTGGTATGAAGAGATATGGGTCTATCAAAAAAAGAAAGAAAAAAAGAGAGAAGAGATATGGGTTGAAAAGAGCTTTCGGGCTGGTTTGGGCCTTGGCTTAAATGGTATACTGTTGTTCCAATAACAAAAAGTACAAGTAATTACATAATAAACCAAATCAACAGAACCCCAAAGACAACAAGCATAATTAACAAAGGAAATTAAACGAAAAAATGCGGGGAGGGAAAACATATGAAAATGGCGGTAAGGCGGCAAAAAGGGGCAATATATATACTGCAATATCTCTTAACTCTTTTCATCCGCCCCTATACTCGCATGCACATCGCGCTTCTTATTCTCTTTGGAAATCGGTTTTTTGGCTCTTTGTTTCTGAAGGCCAAGACTTGAAAGGTATGTTTCTTGATCTGAAATCTCTCTACAGTGATTAGTATCCTGTTCCTCATTCTTCCAAGGACTGTGTCGATCCATTACTGGCTCAGGACGACGATGGCTTTGATTTGATACATGTGCTTTTATTGTGCTTGGCTTGATTTGAAATATCTGCTCGTCTTTTGGCGTAACCTTGGGAAATTTTACTATATTTTCAACATTGATTAACAACTCTCATTATTATGCTTATCTATGATTTGAAGATGAGTGACAGTGATTTTATTGCTAGAAGATTTAGAATTTGGAGAAATTAGTTAGTTTGATATTTTTCAGCATCTTATTTCACCAGAAAGCTAACAAGCGAAGATCTGATTAATTATGCAAACAGAACTAGTCAATTGAGGGGCATAAAATTTAAATATAGAGAAGAATATTCCCGAGTGTATCTCTCCTGGAGTTGGAGGAAATACTTAGCTTTTGCGTTAAGTAGTCCTAACTCCTCTGGTTCACATTCGTTTTCATGAAGCTAAGAGCCTACATGTTACCATAATACATTCTTGGTCCTAATCCTAGTCTGAAAAAACTGCTCAATCTCCGAGCATGACAATGCAAGTCTTAAAGTCGGTTAAGAATGACTTTGTTATTGTACACATTGTACGGGATGAATAACAATGATTTATCTTCAGGCTCCACCCCTCTCCTGAAGGTTGGGAATGCTGGAAAGCAATTCTGGCTCTTCTGGATTTGGTTTCAAATCCAATCCTTGTGAGTTTGCCGACTTAGACTTCTTTTGGGTCTTGACCTTGTTGTTCTTGGCCAACCTGCTAGCTGGGAAATGGAGTCTAGCCATCAAAGGACGGGGTGCTCGCGTTTCCCTGTCAAATCCCCGCACGCAGACATATCCTGCAAAGCATTTTCAGTCATTATTTAGATAGGTTAGGTTATATGGTTACTTACTGTTTTAGTAGATTATATTACGTGGGTTTCTCCCATTAGGAAAGAGTGCTTCTTCATCATTTTTAAAAAATATTTTTAACAAAATAACGCAAGATATGAAAATTTGCTTACTACATTTATGGAATAAGTTTAGAAGATTTTAGTGCTTACTTTTCTATTTAGTTTGTTATTGCCCTTAAAAGCAGTAACTCATATATAACTAAAAAGTTAAAAATAAAAGAAACCAAGATATTTTGATATACAAATTTGTATGAAAAACAAGATGACTGAGATATGTATAAAATGGATATTGCAAACATCTTAATATACATGTGTGAATATTCCAATGGGATAATAGAATATGGAAAGACCAACTATGAACTGGCTGAACTGATAAGGAGAAACATGTTTGCTTGCTAGAATTATTAAACAAAGTTGTCCTTGATCAGACTTGTTTGACAAAAAGGGAATTGCTATCAAGGGTTTCAGTTCATTCTGATTAAGGAGTGTTGCTTACATGGGTGGCTTTACTAGTACCCAGTACAACGAGTTCTCAATATAGACTTGACTGGATCACAGGTTGTCAAATGCCTCTTTAATTCACGTTTAAGTTATATTAGAAAAGAAGTTTTGTATATTATTGAATCATATAATATCTGTACAAGAGCTTTCCATTTAAAGAGTACTGAAAGACCTAATGGGCTAAGCCCAAAAATACACTTCTAGAGTATTCTAGCTAATACAAATAAATAGATTAAATTCTAATATTTACAACAGTCCCCCTGAAGCTGAGGAATGGATATTTATCATTATCAGCTTGCTAGTAAGATCTTGAAACCTATCATTAGGTAGACCCTTAGTCAAGACATCAGTCAATTGACGACCAGAAGAGATACATGGAGTAATAATCCGGCCATTATCGAGTTTCTCTTTGATGAAGTGGCAATCAATCTCAATATGCTTGGTTCGATCGTGTTGGACTGGATTGTAGGCTATACAGATGGCTGACTTGTTATCACAGAATAACTTCATAGATCCTTCATATCTCACCTTGAGAAAGAATGATTTTCAACCATAATAACTCACAGATCCCTTGAGCCATGGCCTGAAATTTCGCTTCTGCACTTGATCTAGCAACCACATTTTTCTTTTTACTTCTCCATGTTATTAAATTTCCACAGAGAAACATACAATAGCCCGAAGTAGATTGTTTATCAGTCACAGATCCAGCATAATCTGCATCTGTATAAACCTCTAAGGAGAGATTTCCTCCTCTCTGGAACAATAGTCCTCTGCCTGGTGTGCCTTTCAGATATTGGAGAATCCTGTCCACAGTTTGCAAGTGTTTTTCCCTTGGATTATGCATGAATTGACTAACAATACTAACTGCATAAGCTAGATCAGGTCTAGTATGAGCTAGATATATCAATCTTCTCACTATTCGTTGATACTGACCTTTGTCAACTGGAGGGCTCTCATTTTCACTTCCTAGTTTGTGGTTCTCCTCAATCGGAGTATTGGAAGGTTTGCATTCGAGTTTTTCTCCTTCTTTAAGGAGGTCAAGAACATACTTCCGTTGACAAATAAAAATGCTTTGTTTTGAATGAGCAACTTCTATCCCAACAAAATATCTCAGATTTCCAAGATCTTTAACTTCAAATTCAACAGTTAGTCTTTTTCTCAAAGCACATTTCTCATCTATCATCTCCTGTTGTAATCATATCGTCAACATAAACTAGAAGGATAGTGGTCTTACCTTCCTGAGAATGTTTAACGAAAAGGGTATGATCTCCTTGACTTTGCTTGTATACCATTGAAAGCATAACTTTGGTAAATTTTCCAAACCAAGCACGTGGAGATTGTTTCAAGCCATACAATGCCTTCTTCAATCTACAAACTTTATTATCTCCATTTGTAGAGTTAAATCCTGGTGCGATCTCCATGTAAACTTCTTATTCTAATTCGCCGTTGAGGAAGACATTTTCACATCAAATTGTTTCAAATCCCAATTAAAATAGCAGCAAGAGATAATAAAATTCTTAGAGTATTCATTTTGGCCACCGGAGCAAATGTTTCTTCGTAGTCAATACCATAGGTCTGTGTGAACCCCTTGGCTACCAGTCGAGTTTTATATCTCTCAAGAGTCCCATCAGAATTATACTTTGGAGTATACACCCATCTGCACCCTACTGCCCTTTTTCCATTTTGGTCTGTCATCAACTTCCTATGTATTATTTTTCTCCAACGCATTCATCTCATCATGCATGGCTTGAACCCAATTATCATCCTTTAATGCTTAATGTACTGATTTCGGGATTGAAATGGAGTAAGTGCTGTAATAAAATTTCTATGTTGCATGAGGAAAGACTGCCTAGAGTATTCCCTTCCCCAGACACTCACGAAGTGGGTATTTGAACTGGGTCGGCCCTTTATAGAGAGATTCTTAGAGGAAACAAAATGAGAAATAAGGTGTTGGGTACATGATCTTTTCCCTTTCCTTACAGCAATGGGTAAGTCATCATAGTTAATATCAGGCTCAGGAATAAAAGAAGTAGTGTATTCAATACTTACCAGCGGTTCAAGTGATTGCAGTTGCTGATGGAGCAGTGTGAGTTGTTTCTTCCTTTGATACACTAGCTCATGTGTCCTAACTTTGCGTACTCTTTGTCGATCAATAGGAGGCATGTCACATGAGGATTCAGATCTATTTTCAGTCTCAACAACTAAATCTTCCTTCTCAACTTGGGTAATAGGTGTAGGCAACAGAAAGGGAGACTCAGACTCAGGGAAAATGGATGAAGCTTCTGTACTGTTCTCCCCCCTGAAGCTGAGGGTGTTGAAAGTAGGACTCAGATTCATGAAAGCTAACATCCATAGAGACAAAGAATTTACGACTTGGAGGGTTGTAACATTTGTATCCTTTCTTGTTGGGAGCATAGCTAAGGAAGACACACTTAAGGGCTCTAGGTTCTAATTTACCCTGATGCTGTTTGTGGACATGGACAAAGGCAACACATCTAAAAACATGAGACTGGAAACTCTGCATAATAGGAACAAAAGGAAAGAAAGAAGTCATGAGATCAACAGGACTTACATGGCCAAGGATTCGGGAGGGTAAACGGTTGATCAAATAAGCTGCAGTTAATACAACTTCTCCCCAGTAAGAGTTGGGCATAGATTTCTGAAACAACAATGCTCTAGTGACTTCAAGCAAATGTCAATTTTCCCTTTCAGCAACCCCATTCTGTTGAGGGGTATCCACACATGTGAGCTCATGAGTCATTCCTTTGTCTTTAATAAATTGGAAAAGATGTTGATTAACATATTCTGTACCATTATCTTATCTCAAGCGTTTGATACTTTTACCAAATTGGGTTTCAATCATATAATAAAACTGAATAAACAACTGTGTCACTTCTGCCTTATCTTTCATAAAAAATATCCATGTTAGCCGAGTATAATCATCAATAAAAGAGACAAACCATTTAGCACCAGAAACATTAAGGACTTTGGAAGGTCCCCAAACATCAGAATGAATAATAGTAAAAGGTTTAATACCTTTTATTTCACTAGAAGGAAAGGATACACGATGATGTTTTGCAAATTGACAGACATCACAATTAAAAGACTCAAAAGACTGAGACATAAACAAAGATGGAAACATAGACTTAAGTAAACTAAAAGGAGGATGACCCAAGCGCTTGTGATTAAGCCAAATAAGAGAATCTGAAGTAGACTGACGAGTCATCAAAGTCTGATCCCTGGTATCTTTTGTAGCAAAGTCTGGAACCAGATAATACAACCCACCCTGCTCCTTAGCAACTCTAATCGTCTTTCTCGTGGTGAGATCTTGAAAAACACAATGAGTAGGAAAAAATGTTACAGTGCAATTCAAATCTGTAGTAAGTCTATGAGTAGAAAGGAGATTGGTAGAAAGTTGGAGAACATGGAGAGCATTCTTGAGACACAAGGAGGGTTGGATTTTAATGTTACCAGAACTTGCAATTGATGTGTGTGATCCATCAGCTACGGCTATAGTACGGATACCAACAATAGGATTATAAGAAAGAAAAAGTCAGTGCAACAAGTCATATGGTCAGTAGCACCAGAATCCACAATCCATGAAGTTTTGAAATCAGTACAAGAAGCAACAAAAGAATGAGTACATGAGTTCTTACCTGTCATAGTAAAAATACCAGTACAAGAAGGCTTATTAAGAGATTCAAATACGGACGTAAGCCGTTCCAATTCCTCACGACGAATAGTAGTAAACTCATCAGGCATTTGTGAGGTCTTATTTATAGGAGAAATGTCTGAGGGGGCAAAGAAGGACTGACCACGTGAGGTTGACTTACCAAGCTTCTCCTTAACCTGTTCCTTTTCATGAAGACAGTAACAAATCTCTTTTGTGTGACCTGGTTTTTTACAATAGTTACACCAACGTCCCTCTTTACTAGGCTTAGGAGAAAAAGACCTTGGAGGTGACTTAGCTGGGACCATAGCAGACCCGTCAGTGGGCTCAGAATCAGAAGGAGTTGGAGTAGTAACTTTAGATGAAAGCATAATTGATCCTTCGGACACTTTGATATCCATCATGACAGCCCTGCGACTTTCTTCACCCCTGACAGTATGAAAAACTTCAGAAAGAGAAGGTAATTTTTCCTTACCAAGAATTTGAACTCGAATAGGGTCATATTCTTAGTTGAGACCACAAAGAAAATCAAAGATCCTATTGTGTTCAATGGAGGTGGTCAGAGTGGCTGTATCCTTGCTACACTCCATCTTCAAACTCTGGTACTGATCAAGCTCAGTCCATAAACCATTCATAATACCATAATACTCTGTTATAGAGAGAGCCTTGCTTGGTAGAAAAAATTCTATTCCTCAGATCATAGCAGATGGTAGCATCTTGCTTCATTGAGTAAGTCTGTCTAAGAACATCCCAGATCTCAAGAGTGGTAGGTGAGAACATGCAATATTCACTAACCTCAGGAGTCATAGAGTTCTATAGCTATGTCATAATAAGAGAGTCTTCATCATCCCAGTAAGCAAATTTTGGATCTGTTTTGGCAAGAACAGGTCCTTAAAGATGACTAATTTTACGACGCCCTTTAATGATGGTACGAACAAGCTGGGACCATTGCAAATAATTCTTCCCATTAAGACGGTAATTATGATGAAGAGGAGGAAGGTCATTTGGAGAAAGAATAGCCATCGAGCGTGACCAGATGATTGACTGGTTGGAGTATCTTCAACGTTCGACATAATAAGGGCTGGAAAAATTTTCCGGTGGCTGGTGGCAATAAAATAAATTTCTCTCCTTTTTTTTTGACGAACAATGCGCGTGAAAGTGCCGATGAACAGAACGCGTGAACAGTGCGCGTGAACAGTACATTTTTTTTTGTGGTTGTTCCGGTCGTCTGATGAAAAAAAAACCTCCGTAGAATGATAGATCTAAGAAAACAGAGTGAAACAGGGGTCCTCACGGTCCAAAAGATCCCCAGAAATTTTTTTCCAGCAGTGGCGAGAGGCAAATAGGGTTTGGTTTTTAAAGGCGGTGATTTGATGAAGCAGAGTCCTCAGAATCGAGAGCTTTGATACCAACTAGAAAAGAAGTTTTATATATTATTGGATCATATAATATCTGTACAAGAGCTTTCTATTTAAAGAGTACTGAAAGACCTAATGGGCTAAGCCCAAAAATACACTTCTAGATTATTCTAGCTAACAAATAAATATATAAAATTCTAATATTTACAACATTTATCCTAAACAATAAGGCTGTATTTAGAATCTTTCTCGTCTATTGTGAAGGAAGTTATTTTTCTAGTTGATCTGAATGGTGATGTCTTTACAGTTTTTTAATTATGCTACAGATCCAACTTCCAACTCAGCAGCATTTATAGAAGTAATGACACATATTATGAAATGCCTCTATGCTCCACACTTTCCTTTATGGATGATTACAGGTTTTAACCTAAGAGCTATAGATATCTTGTGGCATCCATCATGTGACAAGCAAAAAAGTTGTATAAGTGTGTTAGTTTTTAGTACTTTGGCCCCTTAGTGTGTCTATAAAGTCTACAAACTAGCTATGGTTATTACAATGGTAAAAACAAGTTACAATAGGATATTCAAATACAAAAAGTAGAATTACAGTCTGGGAACTGAATCTTACCTCTCCAAAAGCATTGTTGAATTCCTTGTGTTGATAAACCTGGTTGACAAAAAGTGTGTATTAAACTTAATTTATTGATGTAAAATATAATAGCCTAATTTTTAAGTGTTTAACTGTAAATTATAATAGTCTAATATTTAAGTGTTTACCTGTAAATAATAATAGTCTAATTTTTAAGTGTTTACCTTTAAATATGGTTGGTATGGAGGTTCCAAAATATACTGCTCGCCTATTGAGGTTCCAGATCCAACTTCGGGGAACGCTAATTGGGTTAAGACTTGAGTCATGGTCTGCGAAAACCTGCTTCAAATGATTTTAATACTTAAATCACAAACATAAGTATATGAGACGGATAGTGATGTAAGAATATGAGATTTCACAATATTTTACCTCATTGACTTGAAAATAGGTGCCATTTAGTGGAAAGCTTCCTCTCATAGCTGTTCGACATGGTATCTATTCATGATTTATTTAAAGTCAGTCTATTATAATGCTTGCATTTATATGCAAACTGCTCCCACCCACACCCCAACCCTTTGTTTTACCACTAGTATGCATAAGAATTACAAACAGTGTATGGTTAAGCATTCAGACCAGGATTGTCCCTCGAACTATCTGTGAATTCGCTTCACGGAAACTGTTGCATGAAAAACATTCCTTCTCATTACAGAGCTGGCCACAGTCCTGAGAACTGCATTTTCTTTCCGGTGGCTGTATAGAATTTGCCGTCTCACCTGATGTACACATTTATGTATTTGGCAAAATGAATTAGAAAACACCAGAGAACTGAAACCAATCATATATTGTTAAACTTCCTAACTTATTATGCTGTGTAATGCAAACACAAACTCCAACCAATCTAAATTGGTCTAAAGTAAGCATGGTAAAGTTATTTTTGTCCACCTGGAGTCCATATAGCTAGAAGGTATTTGCCTGGATCATCAGGTTCTCTCTTGTCCCACTGTAGTGCATAACCAATTAATAAAAGTTGGGCATATAGCATAAAACACAGTTTGATTAATAGATACAGTAATAACTAACCCCTTCCAAAAGGCTATGTGAATCTGGGAGTTCATAACTGCATGAAGGTGAAGAAAAGATCAGCATAAATTTTTAGAACCTTTCCCTAATACAGGAAGACGGATATGATACCTGTTGGAACTCTATGCCAAGTACTGGAACCTCTATTGAATGCCAGATTCTTATCTTTTTCTTGGGGTTTACTCCTCATCTTTGCATGTTGTTAATGTAACTATGGAAATGTTCGAATCATATACTACTTATTGCTTTTCTTTCTTTTGTAGTATTCGTTACTTTCTTTACCCTACATTTCATTGATTAGCCCATTTTTTATTTTATACCTGCATTCCAGTTAATTAGTCAGAGATGAGTTAGTGTTTTTACTTACACATAATGCTCTGTTCGCAACTGGCTCACATTCTTCAGCTTGGGTGGAGGAATGCAAGCATCTTCTGAGTGTAGAGCAACCAAGGCCTTTGACATTTCACCTTCTTGAAGTTCCATGTTTTGTTGCATATAGTTTTGTAAATTCAGATTGAACTCTTCTATGTCTAGTTTGATGGTGGGAATTTCGCTCGATTCCTCATAGAAGGCATCTTCTATATCATTTTCTGATACTTGGGAGCATTCTGGCTCTGGAGTTGCCGGCTCTTCAATAATAGGTTGGCAGATATTGATTTCGGATTTTGCTTCAAACTGTCGGCTCACTTCTGTTTGTTGAAGCTCTTCTGCTTGGTTTGTGTTTTCCAGGAGAGGCAGGGGCAACTGATTGATGATTGCTGATGGGTGCTGATCAGTTGCATTATTTCCAGTTGTGATAACTATACTCTTCTGCTCAGGTCCTGGCAGGGCAAGCCTTGCACTGCATATAACATTGTTTATTTCTATCATAATTTGCAGTACATGCATATTATTGAATTTGCAAAGTAGTATTGACATTATTTTCAGCTGTTACAAGTTTGTTTCCTAAGTTTACTGTTGAGATAAGGATAAAATGCAATTAGAGTTCTGCCAATATAATGAGGTATTTAACATAATAATACTGGATATATGAACTTCATATAATTCTGTCTCCCAAGTTCCCTATCTACTTCTTAAGTTTGTGAAACAATAGTTCTGAATGATGATGCATTGCATAACGTCTTTTTGTCCGTGCTTTATTGTAAGCATAATAGGTTCACAGAATATTAATTTATCTAAGACATACCTTGCAAAAGCACTTGCAAAGTGTCTACATTCCCCTCTCATTGGGCATGCATTACAATTTGGTTTGCTTTTTGTACAGAAGACCTGCATTCGTTGATTTTAGTTTATGTCCAAATCATAATTTGGTTTTGCTTAATTCTAGGCAGTCTCCAATGCATGAGATCAAAAGTTTACCTTTCCAAAAGTAATCAGCTGGTAATGCAGTTCATACCTGTAATATATTGCAATAAAACATGAAAAAAAATTAATCAATGGATAAAGAGTTTAATTTTTTATCCACTGTTAGTGGGTTTTTTTACACTAACATCCAATCATGTATTGCCACATAATTAGAAGAGTTTGTCGTCTCAGGTAGTATTTATGGTAATCATTCTCTTTGAATGATGTGGCTATGCATGATTGTATGGAATTGTTTGAAAGTTTTATATTGACCATTGATCAAAATTAAATCCGGAGATAAATTGTTCTTACATAAACTATAGAGAAAAAAAGAAAAGAAAAGGAAATTCTTGTATCTTTTAAAGTATGACTGTAAATTGAAAATAAATCTTTACAATGTTCTTTGGTCTAGTTTGCACAGTCGGGGCCAGAGATATTTTTGTATGGATTCCAAAATCGGGTACCTACACAGGCCAATGATGTTAGCTCTTATCTAATCGAATTACTGCTTTATACCATTTGTTTCGGTAGTACTCACAATTCTAGAAGATGCAGCTGTAGTGACTCAGGCAGGGGTTGGAGAGGTACCCATCCCAAACGTACCGCTATACGACCGACATTTGTGTCCACCTATTGTATAGCAATAACTGTAAGTATATTCCATATTACTGTTATTTTATAGTTCTGTTTTCATCTTACCGGGAAAGCAAGCTGGTGCAGTGTTAAAAGTCGCACACACTCCACGCTTTTCAATCCCAGTCCCCTTACACTGAGCAAATATTCTCTGCATGTATGAATTGAATTTACATTATGCATTTTTTCTGCTTGTATGAATTATCTCAAGTGCTTGTGTGAGTGCATATCTATTTGTTTTATAAGTAAATTGAGAGCTCAGGATGTTGGTTACATGAACTCTACAGTGAACAAATGCTAACATTTCATGTATGGGAAATACAATTTCAATGAAGTAGTTTAAATAATCTCTGGACTTACTTAGCTTGGTCAGGGGGAACATCCCTCAGCCACTCGAGATCAATGGCCCCATGTTCATCAACCAATAGGTTCAGGAAATTCTGCATAGTATATCATTTGACATAAGCTGCGTTGAAATTTCTTTATCTGGCAAATACAGATAAATAATATTTCATGGATGTTAAATTCTACCTTAATACGTTCACCAAGCATGTTATTCATGCCCCTTTCTTTGATCGCATCAGCAATTTCCTTGACATCTGCACGTCTCACAGCATCCCAGTCCACAGAGTCCATGGTGTTTTCTGTCTTCTCTCTTTTCCCTGCCTTAGCTTCTGCTTGCATTCTTAAACTATCCCAGTCAAAGTTATCCTTTTTCTCTTTTCCACGCTGTTTTCTCCTTAATTTTACTGGGGCAGAATCTATCTTACTGTTTTCATTCCTCATGGCATAGTTGTGGTCATCAAAATCCAATTCCCTTGCTTTCTGCATAGGATCTTGAGTTTGTCCTGGAATGTGCAAAACATTGTGCTGCCTGTTATTATTTTGTTGCTGAAGATGGATTTGAGATATCATACTTTGAGAATGGTCAACTGCAGCTTGGCTTTCAGACTCTGTTGTTGGAAAACTAGATCTCTTCATGTCATTTTCATATTCATTCTTTGAGGATCCACTTGATGAGGCTTCTATTCTGGGATGATCATAGCAATTAACTTGAAGTATTCCTGAGTTGGGGGTCATTTTCAAAGTATATTCATTGCATGTGATGGTGGATGCTTCTAAGGAGCCTTGAGTAACATTTGATTTTTCTAAGTTTTTTGTCAGATTGTCATGCTTCATGCCTATAGTTTGACCATGTGCATCTCTTAAGTTCTCAGTTGATTTTCTTCTTTGACTGTCAACTTCATGTAACATTGGTGAACTTGCCATTTCTAAAAGCTCACTGAAAGAAATTCTGTTACTAAAAATGTTGTAGTTAGCTGCGCTTGACAGGTCTTCAACTTCTGAGTTGCTATCTGAGAATGATCCTACCTTCTCAGGATTTTGATCAATCGAAAAATCTCCAGATATTTGAGGTGTATCGACAGAGCATTTGGATGAAAATACATCATTTAATGCTTTCCTAACAACCCCATGACATGAATTTTCTTTCCCTTCTCCAATCACAGCACTAACTAGTCCACTCTCCATGGGACTATGTTCCCTAATATGTCTTTGAGCTGATTCCAACAGTTTGCAGTTTGATTCATCTGTTAAGCTAATTAAGCTACCAATCCTTTTGCAGGAATCATTGTTGTTGACAGCTTCTCTTTCTTCAGAATGCTGAATGATGTCTCTTGTCATAGAACTCAACTCATAAACAGATTGGTTCAATATTTTTTCATCCAGTTTATTCTCTTCTGGTTCCACAACGTAAACTTGTGGTTTGTTGACTATCAAGCTCGTGTTTTCCTCCTGGTTTTTGTATTTGCTGCTTGACTTCAGTGGAAATCGAGCAGCAAGGGACATGAATGCAGAACTGTCAACAGAAAAGAAAAAAAGAGAATATTATTATAAGATATATTTTAATTGTAAGTTTCTCAGTAATTAAACTTGCATAATTTATACCTGGAAAGATGGTCTGACACATTTTGAGTGAGGAAAACTCCAATCACTGAATCCACAACTGATCCCTTCCATTGAGAAAAGCGTCTGTCTCCTGTTGAATATGCTTTATATTATTAATATATGGATTGTGTGACCAAATAATGCAGAATTGATAAGCACAAATAGGATAATTTGTGGTTATTTTGTTTTTGCTAATTTAGTATTCTACTTTATCTTCAGATATATTATTTTATTTTAATTTCTGTATTTGGTTTGGCTAATCTATTTTAGCTTTAGTATTTGATTAGGATTTTCCTACTGGTTTATTGTAGGATTATAAGTACCTCATTGGTTGGTATTTCTCTTTCATAAATTATTGTAAATAATGATTATTATCAATTTCATGTGTTTTTCTTCAGTGAGCTTGGTCTCTTAGTTCTCCGTAAGTGGGTTTTACGGTTGGCTTGTGTTGCATGGTTTTTAAGGAAGGAAAACAGATAATATTAAATTCATTGGTATCTTCCCAAGGGTTAGTGTTCTGACTCCTTCCTCCTTCCTTGGGCACAAGTAAGAGGATATTTGTTAGATGTGTGTGTGAAAAGTGATTAATATTGATATTCTTGAAAGTATATCACTGATACCTTGTACCAGATGCATCCGTGCAATAAATGAGTCTGCTCGTCCACGGAATACATTTCGTTCCTCTTCCCACCATTTGGCCTTGTCTTCATCTGTTCCATCAATCCCATGACTGTTTATATCCAACATTAGAAGCTTCCACACTCTATTAGTCTCCTCATCAAGGTCGACTTTAGGTCGTTGTTGCAGTTTTTTAATGGGATCAAATGGGCCCTCAAAGGGAATGATGGTGCCATTTTCATGAACAAGTGCATTCTGCCCATGCAACACTAGCTCTCTGCCTTCTCCATATATATCAAGGTGTCTAAATTGCTCTGTCAATGCATCCACAGTATGTATGTTTTTCCATATCTCTTCACGAGCAACATCTGCATCAATGACTCAAAGTATTAGGACAAACTGCATGGTATTATTATTTGTTCTATGGCAATTATAATGAAAAATAAAAAAAATAATGTTATTGACCAAAAATCAGTTTTAGTTGAAATACCTAATGAGTTGTGCAAGGGAAGGCTGTGATTTTCCAGCAAAAATTTATGGTGCTGTTGCATTTCATTTGAGCAAGAATGTGCTGAACTGACAAGAGTAGTTCTCTTTTTAGTTCGTTTCTTTTTTTTGAGTGATGCCCGCATCTCCGCAACTAAAGCATCAATACATGTCTGCGGTCTTCCTGCACCCCCAAATGTTTGGCAATCTGAACTGCCTAGTTGTTTTGCATCTCCGCAATCATGAATTCTTGTAGGGATTCTTGATCTTCTTTTGGTAGCCCTCCCCTGCCTTAAAGATAAGTTGTACTGAAGTGATTGAGGTTTATCATGAATAACTGTTTCTGTAGCTGTTATTATGACTGGAACTACTGCTTTATATTCAGAGCCAGAAGTCCAGCAGTTGGAACTTGATGCATAAGGATGTGATCTAGCATCTTCTTGAGGGCATGTTGCTAGTTGTACATCTTTTGTGGAAGTCATGAATGATGCATTTGATGTGTTATTTTTCCCCTTTTCACTTCTCCTTTTCTTCTGAACATTTGGAAATTGAACTAAACACTTTGGGTAGTATGCCTGCATTACATTATATTGTGCCCCAATCAGATTAATGCTGCTGTTGTCTGCATTTTCAATGGCACCACAATGTTTTCTCTTGGAACCAAATACTTGTAATCCAGTGGTGAAAATTTCACTCTTACTGCTGTTGCAATCATTTGGACTTGATTGTGCTACTGATTTTGATAGTATTTTTGCACTATTTTCATTTCCATCCCGAGTAATCATCCAACCCCATTTTTGGCTGCCAGTCTCTTCATAGTTGGCATTTGGCTTTGCCCCTGGGAAATTGCTTTTCAAATGAGGGGTACTGGGGCCTTGTGTATCTTCTTGTAATGACTTGTAATTATTTAAAGCCTGTGTTTCCTTGACCACCACACCAATTTCTCTGCCAAAATGTGTGGTTGCATTTTCTGTACATGCAGAATTTACATCTCTCGGTTGTTCTCCTATGTCAAAACTTAAGGACCTTCTGCATGTCTTTTTGGAAGATTCAGGCATCAATGGTTGGGTCCAGTCTCCTGTCACTTCTGTTTGAGGAGTAGAAGTTGTGTTTGATCCTTTCCTTCTCACATACTTCCTCTTGCCAGTTGGGTTTTCTTTTGATTGAACAGGCTTTGGTGTGACTGGCTTCCTAGTTCTTTTGGGTTTGCCTTCAGTTATGACCTTGGGGCGGTGCTTTCTTCTTCTTGGTTTTGGTTCCGGTGTTTTATTTAGATCAATATCATGGCTTATTTCCTTATTGAGGTTGTGATTCTCCTTGCATGGAGTAGAAACAGCAGTAAATTCTATGACAGGGTCATAGAGTTTGTTCTGTGAATTGTCACACTTTGTGGCTGGGACACTTATTTCTTCTCGCCCTTGATCCCTTTCTTCCATATTCAATTGCATCACTGCAACTTGTCTGCTTTCTGCTGTGATGGCATTATCTGGAGTAGGAGGGGCAACCTGAGAAGAGGTCTTGCTATAGTAAGCAAAGTATGATGTGCCTGTTGCAGGAGATCGTATAAATGCCAGAGTTAGAGCCATATGGTCTCAGATTGATCAAGTATAAGAAATAGTTTATATATATATATATATTGAATATGCAAATAGTGGATGTTGTGCCCACGGGCAAAAGATTGTACGAATGTCATAAAGCAACATGGTCTCAAGATTGATCAAACTATCTGGAGAAGTGAAAACACATGCAGATGAACTGATTTTAGTGGAAAACTAGTTCTCTGAATGAGATGGTTTTATGGAGAATAAAAATTGCCCTGCCGATTTAGATGTTCAAAGTGCTAAATGGATAATAGGAAAAGATTGTATGCATAAGATACGCTCTTCGCTTTGGAGCAAGTTGAAACTGCCCGATTATGTTATCCAGTGACTAGTTTTCATTGCTACAGCTGTTTCTCACTGCTGTGTTCTCCGTCAGACATTTTCTTCTATGCCTTTTTTCTTCTCCCGTCACTTCATATTTAGTGTTAATCTCTTAATTTTATATGTATGGATTTACTTTCTTCTGCCCGCTCATGTCACTGATAATTGATACTAGTGAAATGCTAGTGCTTTTATCCAAAAAATAAAAAATAAAAAAATGCTAGTTCTCAGTGTGCAAAGGGACGGTCCTAGGGAAAGCTTTTATGTAATTGAAGTTTTTATATAATGTGACAAAGCAACGAGACCCAAAATCAGAAATTTATTGCCCTTACCTTGAGGATCTTGGTAATTTTCATGGATTGTATTGATCAATGGTTGCTCTCGGGAGAGATGATGGTGACCAAGTAATATGTACGCCGGGTTGAACTGCGAATCAAATTGATTCATCAAATATCCATCATGTGTTGTATTAGAATATGTCGATGGAGCATCTGCCTGAGCCAAAAGTTCAGCAATGCCATTACTTGAGCTGGAAATGTTGTCATAGGATATTTGTACGCGGGTATTGGCATTGTCATGGACAATATCTGTTCCTGCAGTCGCAGCTGTTGACCAGCAGTGAGGCCTGCCGTTTACCTCTGCACCGGCGGCTGAGGATTGAAAACTTGCAAATACCCCATTGGCGTAAGAGCCCATCTGGTTTCCCTCCTCAGGAGTGCAGATCGGCACAGGTCTTTGAAGAATGGGCTTCAATGGGGTGGCGGGGATCCAAGGGACCTGTGCTTGAAGCTCCTTTTTCTCCGTTTCTTTAGCCTCCATTCTGTTTTAGACCTCTCAGAGCTCTTGAAACTCCTTATTTCAAAGGGATAAAAAAGAAGAAGGATAAAAACAAAACAAAATAGCCGAGTGGAGCTCTTTCTGGATACACAGCAAAGCTCAATTTTCCGGCGAAGGGCACATAGTTATCCAGTCTTCATCTGTTTTCTGGTTGGTGTTGATTGTTAGGTCCATTTTTAGGGGTGAACCTGCCATAGTTGAATAAAAGTTGTTTGGGAAACAAACATCAATAAATAATATAAATTAAGGAAAGATGCACAGATGCAGTTCATCAACATTGATAGAGGTGGGTTTCTAAATTACCTTCTGAAAGTAACCGGTGACTGTCAAAGCTGGTACTAGTCAAGATCAGGATTAAAAGAATTGATGCCCATTAAATTAAATTAAATTAAAAGTTCCAAAACATGTCCATGTATGTGGAAAGCAGTGAAGAAGAAACAAAATACTGGCTGATTCTGCTTGAAACCTCCGCTTTATGCTCGCAGTGAATAGGAACTTCTTCCATGGGACCAAAACCAAAGTTGAAACAGAAAATCGGAGAAATTCATGCTGATATAGTTACGGTAGACTTATCCAGTCAATGCCGGAGATCTGATATGACATATCTATCTGGGACAAATTGTGAGGAAAAATATAAAACATTTTTCAGAGGTGAGAGAGAGAGGAGGAAAGAGAGCGAACCTACACAAAATTCTATGAGTTTGGATATGCATCCTGAGCTAGTTTAATTTACTTTATAACTTCATTTTCGGTTCAAGATATCAATTTAATATCAATTAAATATGTATTTTTCCTTTGTCTTTGGCCAGGTTGCATTTAATATATTAGTTACTATGAAAAGACTGACCCAACGTACGAAGACCAGTGATACTTGCGCATCATAAAAGCACGGAATATATTGCATGCACATCACGTAAATTAACATCAACATCAACAACACCTTTATACGACGTAAAGTCAACAATACCTTTTATAGTACTTAAAATCAATATTGATATCAACAACATCTCCTTTATAAGGAAAGAGATTGTGGATACAGAATTAAAATATAAAATTAACTTCAATTGCTTTTATAGAATATTAAAATATATATATGTGATAAATCATTTTTGTAATCAAGTGTATGGTTATGATTCTCCACATTTAATTCTTTCATCTTTTATATGTTTATAATTTCGTATATTTAATGCTTTCACATAGAAATATGGTAAGTATTTGATTGCTGCATATACAGCAGCTGTAGAAATGTAAATTCCATATATATAAATAAAAACCTAAAAAGTAATTCATTTATAAGTATTTTTTAAAAATTAAAAACATTAAATATACTAAAAATGTAAAAGTATTTATTATTTTCATTTTGAGTAATTAAATCTTTGTAAATAAATAATAATTGAAATATATATTGTAAAAAATAAAAATTAATTTATTTATAGGTATTTTTAGAAATTAAAAAAATTTGAGAAAAATTAAATATACTAAAAGTGTAAAGTATTTATTATTTTCATTTTGAGTCACTAAAAGTTTTATAAAGGTTATTAAATGTTTTAAATGAATGTTAAGAAATTAATTAAAAAATTTTAAAATAAAAAATATAGGTGTAAATAGGCTAGGCTAGGCTTTACCTTAAATAGGCTAGGTCTGTGTAAACAATATTGAGTCTGGTCTGACATGTTAGCCTATGTAGGCTTCAAATTATAAGTTTGGTTTGTCTATATTTAAAAAATAAAAGCCTTGGTTTAAGCCTATTAGCTTGTTTAAGTTTATTAAACATTCAACAATTAAAAGAATAATTAAAATAATATTACTTTATTATTCAAAATTATTAAAATAATAATTTTTTATTATTTAAAATAAATAATATAATATAGGCAGGCATGTAGGCTTATAGGCTCTACATGTATAAAAAAAGCCTATGGTCTATTTTCTAAATAGATTTTTTTAAAATTTAGACATGTTCTATTTTACTATTTGTAATAGGTCAAATTTGGCCTAATATAAACTAGGCCCCTGTAGGCCGGCTTAGTCTATTTACACCCCTATAAAAAAGTATTCAAATAAAAATAATATACTTTGAATTCTTAAAAAATATTTAATATTATCTTTCAAATAGTTCATATGATTTAATTAATAATATCAATACCTTAATAATATTATTGACAACACCCATAAAAACAAGTAAATATTTAATTTCTTAAAGAGTCATAAGCATTTATTCCTTTTCCCAATTAGTAATTAAAAATACTTATCATTAAATGATATTAGGAATTCAGTCCCTAATTTGCCAATTGTTGGATTGATTTTTTTGCGGTCCATATCAAATATCACTAAAGAATGATATCGAATGTTTCTTAATTAATATTCATACTTGTTAAAATGTTAATGGCACCAACACCATTAACTATCTGGTGCGGTGGCTCAGTTGGTAGCATGAGGACTGAGTGGTGGGAGAGAATCTCAGTTCGAATCCCACCAGCACCATCTGGGGAGGGGTAAAAGTACCGTAATCCTTGAACTTGCACTCGAACTCTGAATTAGTCCCATAGGCGGCTCAAAGAGCCGAACCCATAGGGTACCGGGGGTTCTGATTCGCCTCAAAGAGATAATTAGAATCAGTTAGAAAAAAAAATGTTAATGGCACAATCTTTTATTTTTTACTCCAACGAGGCACCTATTGAGATTTATACAAATAAAGGAATGCCTGTTGAGTTAGGTTATTTGGCACAACTATATAATTTTGAGTTTAAATCTACAGATTTCTCAATGATAGCCAGTCTTTAATATTTTTTTTAAAAAAGTAGAATCTCCTATCATATAAATATTGAGTTTAACTACAAATAATATAATTTTTTTCATTTGGTTTTAATAATTCCTGAAGTAATTATACCAATGTTCTTAATTTAGTTTTCTAATCATAATTTTTTTAAAATATTATTTTTGATATTAAAATTAACATTAAAGGATCAGCTTAATATTAAAAATTGACATTGACTGATTATTTTGATGTATTTGTTATAGTTGACCATACCTGTGAAATTTATATTCTTGTAGAATCAACAAAGAGGTTAACTATAATTTCCGAGGGGAGGAACCTACTCACTACCAATTAAGTTTATCACTTCTTATTATCAGATTTTAATTATTAATTTTTATTAATCTGTCAGTTATAATTTATTAAGAATTAATAATTAATTAAGTGTTTTTCAATAAATTATATCTGACAGATTAACAGAAATCAACATTAAGATTTGGTGGTAAAAGATAATAAACTTAATTGGTGGTAAGTATATTCTGCTCTAATTTTTAATTTTTTTATCTTTTATCTTATTTAGTTTTGTACTATGCATTGAAAATGGATATTGATATTATGAAATAAATAAAAAAAGTATTAAAATTTAAAAAAGTAAGACAAAATTAGACAAATTAAAAATTTAAGTAAGAGTTACAGCAACGAAAACCACTCTTTTAATTTAAGACATATGTGTTAATAATTATGATAAAACGCCTTACAACAAAAACCTAGATAAAAAAGCAATAGAGCAGAGGTTACCGTTTGTGGTAGCAGCCTTAAGCAGCTCGTGACTTGAGTATGTTATGAAGCAAGGAATCTTTTTCCTTTTACTTATTATGTTCTGTTTCATAACGCTGCAACAATACCTATGCTATGATGCATTGAGTTGTTCATGCCGTGAAGAATTCATTCAACACGTGTGTGATCGAAACATGAATGATGTTCTCGTGTCACTGAAGTGAAGCTTTTAATTGTTTGACTTGTCAGTTCCAAGATGCACCGCAATTTATGCAATTCAAAATTATCTAATTACCGTTGCTTATTATTTATTAATAACGTGAGGAAGCTACTGATTTATTCAATCAGGTGTGTAGTGCCATAGTGATAATAAGATAAACATTGAGTTACTTAGCTTTTAAAAAAGAAATTTCTTTTAATATTAAAATTAACTTTATTAGGCAACCTTTGAATGAAGCAAGAAAAAATATATATACTTAGTCCAAATAACGAGTGCATGTTCAGTAATTAGTAGTCTTCTATTAGAATTAGAAGAGGAAAGGATGAAGCACCTGATTTGTTGAGAAATTTTTATTATTGTTTTTAAAATATATATGTTATTTTAGAAATTGAAATACTAAATACAACTTGATCCATTAAGCATATGTAGCTTTTTTTTATTCTCCCCTTTAACTTTCTATTTTCAAATCCGATTAATCAGTATTTTTAACAACAGTACATAGCTTGATAAAAGAAAAGGACAGAGAAAATACAAAACAGAAGAACTAGAATAACAAAAGAAAGTGTGATAAAGAATGAAAGCAACGTATAATTTTTATGATGTTGGGGCTCATGATTTTTTTTATTTTTTTTTAATATCATGACTTATTTTAAGAATGAAGGAATCTTGTTTCTCACTTTTTCTATTCTGTTTCACAGCATTGAAGCCATACTCATTCTGCATCAGCAGTTTTGATGCCGCGAAGCATGCCACAACGAATAAAGTGTCACATATTTTTGCAAAAAATTACTTGAATATCATATTTTGTAAACTTTTTTCTAAAATATCAAGTCAT